TTGATTCTAACATTTTGACTATTTTTTTTTAATTAAGTATATATGTGAGGTAGGAATAAGTTGGTTAAAAATTGTGAAAAATATTTTAAATTAGTGTAATAAAATGTGTAAGTTGTAGTGAGTAAGGAATAAGTAACTCGATGCACTGTCCCGAATAACCCGCAACCCAATCCGCGCACAACTTGCCTGACCCGAAACCCGATGAACTCACAACCTGATTTGTCCACAACCCAATTGAACCCGAACCCGATGAACCGGCAACCCGACTAACCTGCAAATCGATTGAACTCGAACCAGATTGAACCCGAACCGATGAACCCGCAACCCGACGAACTCGAAACCCGACTAACTCGCAACCCGATTGAACTTGACCCGAACCTGCCCAAACCCGCCCAATTGACACCTATAATTTCTAGAGCAGTTATGGTGATTACCATGGTAGTAGCCACCATGGCTAATAAAGGCAAATTGGATATGGAATTTTTCATTGTTAAATATCATTTTTAAGAAATTACATTTTAAAAAGTTACATGTATATTAATTAAAAATCTCTCTCCCCCTCTCTCTCTCACTTTGCAGATTTCGAGCCACCTCTTTGCCTTCTTCACAGTTTTTTCCTTGTCTTCTTTTAGCCGAACTAATACCATTGCAAAAATAAAATAAAAAATCATTATTAATCTAGTAAAAAACACTACCACATAAAAAAACCATTACCATTGTAGAAATAAATAAGGAATCTATATAAAAAAATAAAAACATTACCACTTCGGCCTAAAAAAAACTACCACTACCACAACATATATCACTTATTTACCAATATTGTTAGAGATTTAACCAATACCAATACATAAACATTAATATCAATACGACAACATCAATACAAAAAAAGTAATAACATTACTTGATAATCAATACCAATGCGAAAACAACAATACCACTAGGGAACTCATTGCAAGGTAGAGACGGGGAGAGAGAAAGAGGGAGGGAGGCATGGAGGGCGGAAACTCGACGTCGAGGATAAAGGTGGCAGTGAGAGAGAGGGGTAGAAGATGTGAGGTTTAGAAAGAACTAATCACATGTTGTATCTTTTTCATTCTCAAAACTATTTTAGACCAATATCGACCGTCGATTTAAAAAAGAGAAAAAGACAAAAGTAATGAACAATATATAATTTTGTAGCCACTCTGACTACGAAATAGTTATTCTCATGCTAACGCGTTATAGGTATTTTCGCATCATTAGCGAATTTGAGGGATCAAGCTATACACTAGATTATGCAAGAGGGCATTATGAGCAATCTTATGGATCCTCTAACAAACCTCCTCATATAGAACAAACACAATTGGCATTCTTAGTCCACATGAGCACTTCTACTATACTTTAAAGTATTGGTGCTTTAAAGTACAACTTGAAGTTGTATCATAACGTTAAATGTAGAAATTGAAGTTCTACCATAAGGAAATTTGATGTTTATGTTGCGACTTGTGGTACAACCAATTTGTTCCATAACATAAAGGTACAACTTTAGTTTATACCATAAAGGGATTTCACAAAAAAGTATAAGTACAAATATACAACCTAAAGTTGTACCATAAACATAAAAAATAAATCACCAATGCTTTAAAGCATTGTAAAATCCTTCGGTCCACAATAGTTTTATATATCAATGATTAGCTTGACAGCATGCACGTGCCCTAAATCCAAGTCATTGGCCACTGTAATTTGATATATGTTATTCTAATATTTTCAACGTAATAAATCATTTAGGCATTCAAATATTATTTTTATTTAACATTACTTGTATGTGATTTATTATATATCATAACCATAAAGATGTGGAGTGAGTTAATATGATAGATTCGTCTCCACAGATATTCTTAAAGGTTAAGTGACCCGCTTACAAGATCATAACAAGTAACAAAGGAACCCACAATAAATTTTCATGAGCTCATATCGTTGTTAGAATTTGTTGATATTATGCTTGGTGCCTCATACATAGTGGTTTGGTATGGAATCAAATTAAACCATTAAAGATAAGATTCATCAATCCTCTATTGAGAAAGATATCACTACGCACTGTCATGTAAAGTCTATGAAATGTGTAACCTCGCTCAAGCGAAACAAGGATTTATTTGCAGTTTCTAGAGATAGAGAAATGCCATCTGGGTATAACCATAAGGATGGCCAAAGCCCATACCATGAACCTAACCTAATAGCAATTACTAGCATGATCTTAACACAGTTTATTGGAGAAATGTGTAACCGTCTGATTGCGAAAAGTAAATAACACAATGATTAACATGGTTTCTCCAAATATCGGAACTAGTCTACAAAGAGCGAGCTACACTCTCAAATATGGTTTTCCGGGAGAAGTTAGAGTGCTAACTTGGTAGGAGATAGTACCATGCTAACTATTTTAATTACCATTTATTTTTTTAAGTTAAATCTGATGGTGGTCGGTAATAAGGGGCTTGTTTGTTATGTTAAAAATTAAATATAAAATTTAATTAAAAACTTAAATATTTTCTCCTCCCTTTTTGTAACTTGTAAGTCATTTTTTGTCAAAAATATGACTACTAAATTTTTTACTACTTAAATTAGTAGTAGTTTTGACAGTCGTAGTGATTTTGCAAATTTATAGTAGCAATTTCATGATTTTTAGTAGTGATTTTATTGTCGGTAGTAGTGATTTAAGAATTTTTAATTAATAGTGATAATGATTTAAATAAGAATCAATACAAATTTTTTTTTGAAAAAATCGATGCATACAAAAACAACTACTAAAACTGTGCAAAGTCCTACCACTTGTTAAAAAAATCAATCTTCATTCCATAAGAATATCACCATTAAATAATCACTACACACTGATGTTTATAATTCGAAACACTACTACACAAATACTACCACGAGTATGCAAAGCTGCAAACGACTATTAATGGTTAACAAAAATCAAAGATTACTATAAGAATAACTAGCTAAAAATAGCTACAACATACTAATATATGTAGGAAACAATCACTACAACACAATCACTGCACAAATCACTACTAATCACAGCTAGCAGTGGGAAAATTTAGTCTGGTGCTATTCACACAGAATAAACCAAAAATGGCCTCTTCCCTTCCAAACTTTGCCTACCGATGATTACAATTATGAGATAAGTCAAGAAATAAAATATTAACAGATCTGACGGTTCCTCTCCCCAGCAGTTTCCCTCTCTGTTTCTGGTCATTCTCTCCCTCTACATGCAACAGATCTGAGGCCATCATCAGATTTGCCGACGTCAGAAACACGATGCAACCCCGCCGAACTGTGACCTCGTCTCGTCACAACCCATCGCTTGCTTCTCGCCGACGTCAGAAGCGCAACCGTGCCACTCTTTGTCGCAAGCACCTTTCATAGTGGCCCTTCTCGCCGGCAGATGCATCGTTGTCGTTGAGAGAGAATGAGGGATTGACAGTTTTGGAGAAAGAGAGGAAAGGGACGGTTTCACAAAATGAAATTTAGTCGTATGGCTGATAACACAGTTAGTATGGTACTAACCTCTTAAGATTTTAGCACCCAATCCGGCTCCTAACCACTATCACGGAAGAGAGGAAAAAGGCTGCTATAATGGCAAATTAGGTTTTGGCTACAGGGCCTTTAATACCCTCGACCATGACCTAGGAAAGAAAGTTGTCTTACCAAATTACATCTGACTGCGCAAACTATGTACGAATGACAATCACACTCCTCAACAACGTGGAACTATCTTTTGGTTGTTAAGAGAAGAAAGAGACTATCTTTCCACTCGCAAATTGGGATATACCCCTATTGTTGTCTGTTCCATGGTGGTGGGCTGGTGGGAAGTTATTAGCGCTTTTGCTGTGCCATAACTTTACAAAGCAGCGATGTCGACTCGAGGAAACACCGTACCTCAGCATGTGCAGGAGATTGCTTGGCAGGGCTGCCAGAATGTGCTGTGGCTAGCATTGTGCAATGGCAGAACTTCGTCCAAGACACGAGGAGAAAGGTTCACGTCGTCATCGACTATATGCTATGCTATCAATTCATGAGCCCTACCCATCGCAGCAATGATGGACCATTAGCAAATATGGTATCGACTATATATAGGAATAAATGCACCGTAAAGATGAAACGTCCCGTGAAGAGTACAAATTACACCCAGTGCTCAAGAATCAAGATCATAAGTTCAAGATCCCTTTTTGATTAGCTAGCTAATCTGAAAAGTCAGCTACCCAACAAAGTTACCCAAATTGGTGAATGCCTTCATAATTATCCTTTAAATTAAACTACTGGAATGATTGTAGCTTGGTACGTTATATCATAAACACCAAAAAGGATGTATTGTTTTGAACCGTGTTTGGTAAACCATATCGTATCAGCGGTTTGATTGGAAAAAACTATCTATCGAAACTCAGGTTGGTTTTTATAGGAATGAAAATGTTGAACCATGATTGAATCATGATCGAAGCACAAAATACCCTACCTTTGACTTATCTCGTATGACCTTCCAAAACTCTTTTATGATATATGTGTTGCGTATAATAGAACAAACACAACACACTAGTAACTTAAGTTGCATAAACTACTCAAATTAGCCAATTTATGTGTCAACCACTGTTACTCACCAGAAGGCACTTGGTATCATTTTCAGATACATCAAAAAGCATCCGGTCTCTTCTTTCCTTGCCAATATTCTCTTGATTTGAAGTCTTTTAGAGACTCGGATTGGGGGGCTTGTCTAGGCACTCGACGATCAATTACTGGTTATTGCCTCCTTCACAATTGCCTAGTCTCATGGAAATCAAAGAAAGAATCAATTGTTTCCCTTCATTCGTGTGAAGTAGAGTATCATGCTCTTGCTCACACGACTTATGAGTTTCAATGGATCCTTTCTCTCATTTATGATTTCTAGGTGCCTCATTCGATCCCAAACCAGTTTCTCTTTAATGCAATAATCCGTGTGCAAACTATATAGCTAAGGATCCTACTTTCCACGAAAATATCAAGCATATAGAGCTTGATTGTCATTTGTCATCTTGTTAAGGAGAACCAGTTTATACTCTTCTCTTCGGCTACAAGTGTTGAATCTCTGCCCTCCAACTTGTGTGGGGGGTAACAACGATACAAGCGGAAGAAACAACAGTTTTTTTTCCAGCATCACCAAGTATTGGAGCCCAGGTCCGCTGCAAAGGACGAAATGATCGCCACCTTATTGCATGAAAAAGGAATCAAAGAAGGAAGAGAAATATTTTTCTCTCTTCCAAATGACGAAATGATCGCCGCCTTTCAGCTAAACAATGGCGATTGAGGCTCTTCCTCCGCCAAACTGGAGAAGAAGTCGCTACTGGGCTCCTGCCAGTAGTAATTATCAGTTGCGAGCAGTGACTCTGTCCACACTCCGGAGCACTCCCTCTCCAACTCATCACTGTAGTAAACTCCTGCCGCCGCGGCTGCTGCTTCCGCCTCCCACAAATCGGCGAAGAAGCTCGCGTCGTCGGACGCGAGCTCATCGGTGAACCCGGCCCAAGATGGCGTCATTGACATAGAACCGGGCTCACTCACATGATTCGACTCTGAAGTTGCTGCCATTGACGTGGAGCTAATCGAAGAGCTGCTCTCCATTACTTGAACTCCTTCTGGAATCTTCACTGCCTCCTCCTCCTCCTTCTTCCCGGTTTCGTCCACTTTCTCTTCCGGATTGATTGGTTGCCTCGCGCGTTGCTTCAGGCTGGTGTGCCAGTGATTCTTGATCTGGTTGTCACTTCGGCCAGGAAGATGGGCCGCAATTGCTGACCATCTACAGCATCAAATCGATTGATTAATACTTTCCCTCTTTTTGGAAAATCCTTAGCTCCACTAAATTTTTTTTAATATTTAATGTTCTTAATTATGTTAAATAAATCGAGGATTAAAATATAAAAAAGAAGATGAAATCACTAATAAAAAACAAACATAGTGACTAACTGTAGCTTCTGCATCCAAAGAAAGTTGTAGCTAAGAATTTTCCCTTTTTTCCTTTCATATTATACGTGCATGGAAAAATAAGGTGATTAGTCATTACCTGTTTCCAAGGGTTGAGTGGAGGTTGAGGATGGTTTCTTCTTCTTCTGCACTGTAATCCCCTCTCTTCACATTGGGTTGTAGGTGATTCATCCACCGCAGCCTGCAACTCTTCCCGCACCTTTTCAGCCCTGCAAAAGTTCAATCAAATTTTGTCAGAACAATATTGTTCATCATCAAAACCCAATTGATTTTGAATGAAACCCACTTGATTTATGATTGAAAAAGGTAAGAGAAATCGTGGAGTACCTGCGAATTTGGGGATTTGGAGCCAGTTCCAGCAGCCGTAGCGAGTGACATAGGCAATCAGCTTCCTGTCTTCCTCAGCAGTCCAAGTCCCTTTCCTCATTCCATTTTCGTCACAGGAAGGTGTCCTCACCATGTTTCTTCAGTCACTCTTTCGCTACAGTGAACTCTGGATTCACTCTTCCTCTATTTTTTTGGTGTCTTTAAGGAGAACGTGGCTCACAGACACGTTTAACAGTAGTTTAGTACTGTTACCATTTTTCATAGTACTACTGGTACCCACATATGTGTCACTAACGGGGACATGTCCTACCCGATTCATGGTTTATGTGTTTATGTATAAAAAAAGGAAAATTCGGTACTATATTTACTTGTGGTGTTGCCGTGTTGGACTTGGAATCCAAGAAGATTCCTAAAACAAAAACATGGGAATAGGACAAAGGAATCGGACTAGTCCATTATTTTGCTGACATATATTGTTGAGATCTTTACATTGGACCTGTACAGCTGTCCCGTATTGCTAAATGAGTTAGCACTAACTTTGGTAATTGCGTATAGACGTATATGAAGTGTTGAACATTTTCGGATTAGACTAAATATCAGTGTTTTAACTTTGATCATCACTTTGGACCGTCTCACATTAAATCTGAAATGTAAATTAAAAAGAGAGAGATACGGATTTAAAGTGGCTCAGGCGCTCACAGCCTTGTTGATATTATGCTTGGTGCCTCATACATAGTCTTTTGGTAAGGAATCAGATTAAACCATTAGAGGAATTTGACAGTGAAAGATAAGATTCATCAGTCCACTATTGGGAAAGATATGATCGCTACGCAGTGTCATGATAAGTCTATGAAATGTGTTACCTGACTCAAGTGAAACAAGGATCCATTTGCTGTTTGTGGAGTAGAGCAAAATGCCATCTGGGTATCAATGGTGAACCGACGTACATACAACATGAGTACAACCATAAGAATGGCCAAAGCCCATAACATGAACTTAACCTAAGAGCAATTACTAGCATGACACTAGCTAGAGATAAAATTTATGCTCGGGCAAAAGGGGAACATGATCCTAACACGTAAAATTTGTTGGAGACATGTGTAAAAAGTAGGGTTATATATGCCCTTCTATTATGACGTTTTATCAAACATGCCCATCTATTATTTTTTACATCAAATATGCCCATGTACTTTGAAAAAATTATCAAATATGCCCTTCTGTTAAAATTTCGATTGAAAAAAATCGTCAATCATGGTTGAATTGAGATTTAGACGACCCGACATCGACAAATGGGAGGGAAAATGTCAGTTTTGTCTCCTGTTTTATTTCTCTGGGTCTTTTCAAAGTGAAATTATTTGAATGATTTGATTATACAAAATAACCAAAAAAATTCTAAAGTGAATTTATTAGGGATATTTTAGTCATTTGTGTCGGCCAAACTAAAGTTCGGCCTTGGTTAACAGTTTTTATATGAAAATTTTAACAAAAGGGCATGTTTGATCATTTTTACAAAGTGCAGAGGCATGTTTGATGTAAAAAATAGTAGAGGGGCATGTTTGATAAAACGTCATAGTAGAGGGGCATATTATACCTATAACCCTAAAAAGTAGTGTGATTGCAAAAGGTAAATAAACACGATAATTACCCCAAATATCGGAACTAGATTACAGAGAGCTAAATATCAAATATGGTTTTCACTATCACGGAAGAGAACAAAGGCTGCTATAATGCCAAATTAGGTTTTGGGTACAGGGCCGGCCTTTAATACTCTCGACAATGACCTAAGAAAGAAAGTTGTCTCACCAAATTACATCCGACAGCACAAATTATATACAAATGACAATCGCATCCTCCACAATGTGGAACTTTCTTTTGGTTGTTAAGACTATCTTTCCACTCGTAAATTGGGATACCCCTATTGTTGTCTGGTCCATTGTCGTGGCAAGTTATTACTGCTTTTGGTTTGGCATAACTTTACAAAGCACCGATGTCTGCAGAATGTGCAAGAGATTGCTTGGCCAAGCTGCCTGCAGAATGTGCTGCATGTGGCTAGCATTGTGCAATGGCAGAACGTCCTCCAAGACACGAGGAGAAAGGTTCACGTCGTCATCGACTATATGCTATCATGAGCCCTACCAATCGCAGCAATGATGGACCATTAGCAAAAATGGTATCGACTATATATATAGGAATAAATGCATCGTAAGAAGAAACATCTGGTGAAGTGTAGAAATCCAGTGCTCAAGATCATATAAGTTCAAGATCCCTTTAATCATGATTAGTTAGCTAATCTACAAAAGTCAGCTACCGAGCCATGTTCCCAAATTAGTGAATGTCTTTATAATTATCCTCCAAAACTACTGGAATGATTGTAACTTGGTACGTTATCAAAAACACCAAAAAAAGCTTGTAAAAAAAACACCAAAAAAAAAAAAAAGAATGTATTGATTTGAACAATGTTTGGTAAACTATATGGTATCAATGGTATGATCGAAAAAACTATTTATCGAAACTTTAGTTGATTTTTATAGGAATGATATTGTTGAACCATGGTTAAATTACGATCGAAGCACAAAATACCCTACCTTTAACTTATCTTGTACAACCTCCGTTGCAGTTTCTGATTCCTGGTTTTGAAGAAAAGGCCAATGATATGTATAGGAATGACAATTTTGACCAGCACCCGGTAGTACCCAACTCAATCAAAGCAGGAAAATTCCTCATTGATGCATTTTGTGTCGGCTACATGTAAACCCATTTTTTGGAGCTAACGGGTTGGGTATCAGTTTGCATAAAATTCGACCTGCTTTCCACCCAACTTTCACACAGAAAGGAAAATAATATTATTTACATTCCCATAATAGTATGAATCATTTATGGATGCTAATAGTTTTTATGGTAATAGAGTTCTAATGATATAAATAATTTCATGTGATTAGTCTTTATAACAATATAGTTAAACTATTGGTAACCAACCGATTGAGTTCGATTTTATCTTCCTTTGACATTTGATAATAACCAGAAATTGAAAGAGTAAAGAGACGATATTTTACGTGATATTCCCAATGTGTTTGGAACTAATCCACGTCAGAGTTCAAGCACTCTCTTACCTCATTCAGTGTTATCCTTATGATCTATCATTTGCATCAATGGTATTGCTGAAATTACAAGGGTCAAAGCTATTCTTCATCAGACTTTCAACATTAAGGACCTTGGCACTCTCAAGTGTTTCATCGGCATTGAAGTAGCTACTAGCTCAAGGTCCTAAGGAAATTCCTCTCTCTCACCGTTAGTATGCTTTGGAAATTCTTAATTAATGAGGCTGGCTATCTTGGGCTCAAGCCGATTACTATTCCAATAGATTACAAGCTTCATTTATCGGCTAATGATAGTACTGATTTTGTGGATCCACTGTTTATTGAGGTTTGATGGGGAAGTTAATTTACTTAACTACAATATGGTCTGACATCAACTTCTCTACTTACACTACAGAAAAAAGATCCTTTAATCATGGTAAATCCCGTGTTTGAAAGTGTGTTTCCCGTGTTTAAAAGTTTCAATCACGGGAAAATTACCGTAATATTTACCTCCGTGTCTAATTGTAAAGGTCACGGGAAAATTGTACCATGACTAGTTATAACTAGTCACGGTATAATATACAGTGATAATTTGTACCTATTAATCACGGGGAGCACCGTGATTATACCAAATGTAGCCACACAAAACCAACAAAAAACTCATTTAGAGACGGGATATACACTTTTTAACACGGTATTTACCATGATAAAATCTTTTCCCGTGACTAGATGTGAATCATTAGTCATGGTATTTGATTGGCTTTCCTGTGTCTAGATACTAACAATTGGTCCCAATATTTTATTATGCCTAATTATCAATCACTAACCACAATGTTTTTCCATCATACATAAAATTTCATATATTAACATACAATTGAAATGACCAACTCTTATAGTATGAAACCCTAACATAATTGAAAAGACTAATTACAATAGCATGAAATTCTAACATAATGAAATCAATTGCATATCCAATCAGTCTGATCAAATCAACTAAAGTTATCCTAATTTTTGGTCTATGCTTCTATAAGACATTCTTGAGTAGCTGCAACATTTCTCCAACTCCCAAATCTTCAAGTCTTTCTCATCCTGACAAAGCAAAGTAAGAAACTTAAAATAAGATCCTGTGTATTTGAAACATAGACAATTTGAAATTGAACCCTAGCTCCTCACTCCATAATAAAATCCTCATGCATGCATCTCTGCCTAAAACCAAGCCACCAATTTCACCATAAACAAAGCAGCAGCAAGAAATGACTAACCGATCCAAATCTCTTAAAAGTCTTGGAAGACTAGAGTAATACACGCTACAGCCATCCGGAATCTAGGAGAGACCACAACTTGCATGTAGCGCATAAGTATCATCAACTATTACCTAGGTTCTAGAAACAATGTCAGATGGCAACTCTAATTTCATTACCCTGTTCTTCCAGCTAATCACAAGGAACCTACCATACCAAATGCAATACTCTTTATTGCTTTTGAACCAACAAGCTATTTCGTTGGTAATCAAACAAAGGTATGAAAGTGTCCATCCCCCGACTCAACTCCTATGTTCAATATGCAAGAGAAGTTCAGAAAATACAAGAAACTAATACAGGACAGAAAAAACCCCTTAATAATATGTGATAAAATTGCAGCACACACATCTAAAATCGAAGATACATCGATAAAACCTTGCTCTTTGATCAGTGCAGCAACGACTTCCTGGAGAATTCAAGTCCCTTGTCCTGTTGAAGACCATTGTTGCACTGAGAAGTGAAGGCTCACTGCAAAAGATAGTAGTAGTCTATCTAATAAGAAGCAATCACCAAAGTAGTTAAGCAACAAGTGAGAGAGAGGCCTTTCAAGAAAATATGATTTTCAAAGCATCTAGTAAAAAGTTGCAACCTGACATAAACAAAGAAAGATAATAAGTGATGGAAAGATAAAGGCATTTTCCCAGTTACACTAGTGTTGAGGAAACTGCAGGAATAGAGTGAAGGAGCTCCTGTTGCAAACGATCCTTACCAGAAAAAAAGTTTAGATACCATTATAATCATTAGAGATATGATTAAAACGGACAGATCAAAAAAGAGGTTTCAGTGTTGTTCTTGTTCCACTTCTATTTCACTTTCTCTTGGCAGACGAGAAACCAAAAGCTTAGCATGGAGACAAACAGAAAGTAGAGAAAGCTCTTATGGAATTGCTTCTACAAGGACCAAGAATCCATAAGAGAAATTCATAGTCTTCACATAAATACACTCATCAGGGAAGCATAAAAAGCAGAAGAAAACAAACTTAAGCGTATGTCATCTACCTTGAGGATGCATTATAAATTGATTAAACATGGGTGCAAGGTATTCCCATCATACATCATCATTATCGCATTGCAAATGCATTTAAGAATACAATTCAAATGGATTCTTGAAAGCAACCTGTTGATAGCTTATAAGAGCATAATAAGACTTACGAGTATAATATTTATATATCCAACTCCTTTTGATCTCCTTGAGTTCCTATCCACTATCAATGTAACATCCCTCCCCTAAAAATTTAAGGACATAAATTGTTGATGATGATAAAGATATGATGAACGACTAATGAGATCCATTAGAGCTAGCTAGTGAGACCTATCTATCTGTTCATTTAGTGTTATACCATACTTGAACTAGGCCTCCCACCTTGTGGGAAATTATACATAACACTACAGATTTAGAGTTACAAAAACATGTATCAATCTTTGTGTGTACAACTATATACCTTCTCTGCTCATTCACTTTCAAACTCTTTTTCATCTTTGTTCAGTGACATGTCAGTGGCCCTTACAAGCTACTTCGCCTAGTCTGCCAAAAATCAAACACCAGGATCAGCTATTACAAGTACCGTACAAAAGTACAGATAGAAATGAACACATGTAACTAACTAATTATATGGAAATAAAAGGAACAGTTCCAGAACACTAACATATGGACACAGTCTGAGATGAATTTGAAAGACTTAAGAAGCAACCTCTTCTCACAATCGCTTCTTTGGAATTGCTAGTGAATCTTTCTCCTGCATGTGAACGAGTAAGTAAGTCCATCTTCATCGACTGGACTGAATCTGTGATAGAGGATATCGAACAGGATTGAAAGAGAGGCAATGCAATCGGAAAGAAGCAAACAACGGGTTGCTGGAAAGGACACTACAAACAGAGGAATGGAAAAAGTGACCATGAAACCAAAGATTCATTACCACTGAAGAATGCCAGGAAATATTCAATAGACAAAGAGCACAACCCAAAAACACTGAAGGGAAACAAATCAACAACAAAACTATATCCAACCATCGTAGCACCAAAAACACCTACATAGCAATAGAATGCAAACTGAAAACTAAACAAGAACACCCAGAAACGTCCCTCAAAGTTCATAATCTAGATGCATGCTAAAAGCAAGTAAACTAGTGAAACTGAAAAAGTGGATCAACAATAGAAAAAAGATCACCAAAAAAGCTAAAACTAGGGATTAATTCCAAAACCCAAATTCACAACCGTGTAAACCCCTAAGTTGACAACCCTAATCCCAAATCAAACATGGAGATCACTGTTAAATACATCTCAGAACCATCCCACAGTCTACATCGACCCCTGTTGATTAGGAGATGTCGTCGGGTTGGGCAAGAAGAGAGGTAGAGTGGTGTGGCATGGCAGCTGGGGCCAGCGGTGCTAGATCTGGAATCTGCAACAATGACAAGCATTAGGAGGTAGGAAGAGAGAACTCTGGGAAGAATACAAGGACTTGAGTTAAGGCGGTGGTTGAGGAGCTACAGCGATGCAGAATTTGCATCGAGTCTGGAGGTTGCTAGCTGCGACGGTGAGGAGGAATGAGAGGTGGGGGTTACGGGAGTTGCTGGGCAAGGATTGTGAGTGGCGGGCGTATCCCATCTTCTTTGTGGGAAAAGCAGATATTGAGATTTGAGATGAGGGGAAAGTGGGAAAGAAGACCTTTTGAGGATTGGGGGGAAAGTTTTCACAATGGGAGGGAAAGAATTGAAGGGGTTCAGATTGGGTTCAGAAAAGAGGGGGGAAATTTTCCGCCAAAATTTTGGTATAGGAATAGTCACGGTAACCAGAGTTAGAAGTTGGGAAAAATAAATCCCATGACTAGATAGATGTAATTAGGTACTGGTATTTTTCTCGTACTTAGTGGTATGGTTTTTAATACGGGAAAAATTCCCGTGAATAAGTTACCGTGATCAAATGTCGGTTTCCCTGTAGTGTTAGCAAGTTAGCCAAGTTATGTGTCAGCCCATTGTTACTCACCAGAAGGAAGTTACTCACATTTTCATATACATCAAGAAGCATCATGATAATGGTTTCTTTTTTTTTCCTTCCCAATATTCTCTTGATTTGAGGACTTTTAGAGACTCAGATTGGGGGTTTTTCTAGATACTTGACGATTTATTATTGGTTATTGCCACATCCTTGGCAATTCCTTCGTCTCATGGAAATCAAAGAAAGAATCCAATATTGTTTCTATTCATTCTTGCAAAGTAGAGTATCGTGCTCTTCATTGTTGCTCCTGCATGATTTCTAGGTGCCTCATCCCAAATCAGTTTCTTTTTACCGCGACAATCCGTCTGCAATCTATATAGGTAAGAATCTTACTTTTCACGAAAGAATCAAGCATATAGAGCTTGACTGTAAACTTGTTAGACAGGATCAGTTTCTATTCTTCTCTTCAAGCTGGGAGTGTCGAATCTCTGTCGTCCAGTTTCTAGGGGTAACAACGATACAAGCGGAAGAAACAATAATTTTTTCAGCACCAATAAGTATCTAGCCCAGGTCCGCAGCAAATAGAGCCAAGTACAAATGACCATTTGATTCCCAAGTGTTACACCAACGGTCGACAATAACGACCTTTCTTATTTCAGTCTTCCATTTTTACCATCCATTCCTTTCACCCATCTGAGCTAGGTTTGTCTTGTAATGAACTTGGTACACGAAAGGAATGAAAGTAGGAAGAGAAATATCTAATGACGAATGATCATCGCCTTTCAGCAAAACAATGGTGATTGAGGCTCCTCCGCTGCCAAAGTGGAGAAGAAGTCGCTACTGGGCACCTCGCAGTAGTAGTTATCAGCTGCGAGCAGTGACTTTGTCCACAATCCATAGCACTCCCTCTCCAACTCATCACTGTAGTAAAGTCTCGCCGCCGCGATGCTTCTTCTGCCTCCCACACATCGGCGAAGCAACTTGTTTCGGACACCAACTCATCGGTGAACCCGGCCCACGATGCTGTCATCAACATAGAACCGGGCTCACTTACAGGAGCCGACTCTGAAGTTGCTGCCATTGACGTGTAGCTAATCAAAGAGTTGCTCTCGGCCAATACTTGAACTCCTTCTGGAATCTTCGCCGCCTCCTCTTCCTTCCTGGTTTCAACCACTTTTGCTTCCTGATTGATTCTTGGCTCGCGCGTTGCTTAAGGCTGGTGTGCCAGTGATTCTTGATCATGTTGTCACTTTGGCCAGGGAGATGGGCCGCATTGGGGCAGACCATCTATAGCATCAAATCGATTGATTAATACTTCTCTTTTTTGAAAAATCCTTAGCTCGAGTCTTGGTGGAATCACCTTCCTTTTTTCTCAATATTTAATATTTTTAATTATGTTAAATAAATCAAAAATTAAAATATAAAGAAGAAAGATGAACTCACTAATAAGAAACTAACATGTAACAAGTTGTATTTTCTGCGTTGAACAAATGTTGGAGCTAAGAATTTTCTCTTTTTTTTCCGTACATGAAAAAATAAGGTGATTCGTCATTACCTGTTTCCAAGGGTTGAGTGGAGGTTGAGGATGGTTTCTTCTTCTTCTGCACTGTATTTCCCTCTGTTCACATTGGGCTGTATGTGATTCATCCACCGCAGCCTGCAATTCTTCCCGCAATTTTTCAGCCCTGCAAATGTTCAATCAAATTATGTCAGAACAAAATTGTTCATCATAAAACCCAATTGATTTTGAATGAAACCCACTTGATTTCTGATTGAAAAAGGTAAGAGAAATCGTGGAGTACCTGCGAATTTGGGGATTTGGAGCCAGTTCCAGCAGCCGTAGCGAGTGACATAGGCAATCAGCTTCCTGTCTTCCTCAGCAGTCCAAGTCCCTTTCCTCATTCCATTTTCGTCACAGGAAGGTGTCCTCACCATGTTTCTTCAGTCACTCTTTCGCTACAGTGAACTCTGGATTTGCTCTTTCTCTATTTTTTTGGTGTCTTTAAAGAGAACTGTCTCACAGACACGTTTAACAGTAGTTTAGTACTGTTACCATTTTTCATAAACTTGTACCACATATGTGTCACTAACAGGGATATGTCCTACCCGATTCATGGTTCTTGTGTTTATGTATAAAAAAAAGGAAAATTTGGTACTATATTTACTTGTGGCGTTGGATCCAAGAAGATTCCTAAGACAAAAACATGGGAAGAGGACACAGGAATGGGACGACTCCATTATTTCGCTGACATATATTGTTGAGATATTGACTTGGCATTGGACCTAGGGTGGGCACGTGTGTGGTTAATCCGCGAATTGATATTGATCCACCCGCAAATAATCCGACCCGCATGCAATGGGTGATTGATGTGGGTGGATTGCGGATTGTTAAATCTCCCACCCGCACTTATGTGGGTGGATGGTGGGTGGATTGCGGGTCACCCGTATGACCCGCATCCTATTTTTACATGGAAAAATGTGGTTTCTTATAGTATCGAATATTCATCATATTTTCGAACTGCACTATAGTCTGACCATATACTGCAAAAGGTGGAGAATAAAGAATAGTTTTGACTACTATTATTGGCTACTGTGTTGTGCAATATCCATTGACAATGAATATTGGTATGAAAATTATTGTTAATATCCATTAAATACTGGGATACAAACTATAAATTATTAATTGTATCAAAATCATAAATTATTGATACAATCTTACTAATGTGCTATGAACTTATTATAAATGTTAGTCAATTTTCTTAATGGCTAGTTGGATAATTGTTTTTGCGGGTTAATCCGCGACCCAACCGCACCCATCCGCCACCCACCCAATCCAACCCACATAAGTATGTGGGTGGATTGCGGGTCACATATATTCCAACCCGCTAGTAAGCGGGTGGGTCAATTTTAAACCAAAATCCATCCAACCCGCCCATTGCCCACCCCTAATTGGACCTGTACAGCTGTCCTGTACTGCTAAAAGAGTTAGCACTAACTTTGGTAATTGCATGCGTATGTTATGTATATCAAGTGTTGAACGTTTTCAAATTAGAGAGAGATATGTATTTAATGTGGCTCAGTAAGTCAGCGCTCAGCCTCGAAGAACTTTACGTTAATGAGAGTTCAATAATCAATATAGATCTTATGGAATTATATAGTTTTTTTTTTATAGGAAGGAATTATATAGTTTTCTATTATATTGTGTAGATGGAGCTCACCTGCTGTTACATCTAAAAAACCCAAAACCCTATTCCATTTGTATTGGGATCGGACAGGATAAAAAGGGCATTAAATAAAGTGATATTTGAAATAGTACAACAAATCCAAATTCATTTTATGCATTTTGTGTCTTTTTTACAACATAGAAGGCAATAACTGAAGAGTACGTATGCTATGGAATTGAGTACGTGGAAAGCTGAAAACGAGGAACAGAAAAAAGATAGTGGCAGTGGACTAAGTCTGCTAAATATCAGTAGATATTTCTATCCTTTCACGACCTTGCAAGTGGAATTTTGGTGAGGTGAAACTTGGACAGAAATTGGCGAGATGGAAGATGAGTGAGTTGTTTGGTGAGCACATTCGCGAGCTGTCTAAAGCGAGAAGATAATGAACATGTATCTAATTTTTTGCTGGCCTTATGACGTGCAAAATGAAATTCAATTTTCAAATGCTTGGAGCGAATTTGGAAAACCGAGGTATGAGGCAGATAAGTTGCCCCAAATTGTCACACATTTATATGATTGTATCACAGAAGAAGGTAACGATTGACCAAGTTCAGCTAGCAGAGCTTGGAGCCAAATAACTTCAGAGGCCAAGGTGCAAAGTACATTATACACGCATTCACTGGACGAGCGAGCAATCGCCTTTTGCTTCCGGGTAGACCAAGAAACCAGATTGGACCATAGAAAACTGCAAAGCCAATGATGTACTTGTTGGGATTTTTAATGGTTTGAATGGAATTAAAAAAGGGAAAGATTCAAGACAATCTCTTGAAGTACCATGTTGGTAGGCTGTGGGAAGGAGTGACCGCGAATTCGGTCGTTTTTATGTAATATGTTTTTAATCAGTAATATTGGTTTGTGTGACCAACTGGACCAAACCGAGTTGAACGAAATCAAACCAAATCGATGTGGCAGTTGGAATAACCATACCGGTCCAACTACCATGGGCCGAACTGATGCAATGGTTCATTATTTTTAAATGAACTAATGTGTTGGTTGGGATGTAACCACCCATATGAAAGTCGCCTCCCTTCATACGCACCTCTTCATTTTCTTTAAATAGCACCATACCCCCTCTAGTTTTGACTACGAGAATATACGTTTTTTTGTACCAAAACTCTCATAAAATACAAAACTAGTTTTCTACATTCTTTTCAAAGAGAAAATCGAGTCAAGTGTGGTTCTCGCCGGTTCACTGTGTTCGATGCGGTTTCCGGGTTTGAGGTACCACTCGCCGGAAAAGGTACGTCATTTCTATCTTGTGTGGAATCATTCCATAACCTTGGGTACTAGAGGGGAATAAGATTTCTTAAAGAGAGATAGTGAATTCTGTTGGGTAGGACGCTTGCATATGTATTTACATTATTTCGTGATCTTATATGTTTCTTGGGTTAATTACATGATTTCGTGATCTTAGAAGACCGGTCGCTGTTGTATTTTCATCGATCGATGGAAAAATGGCGTCCATCGGAAAGGAAGTTGAAGGTCGGGGTCGGGTTTAAAATGGGTGGCCGGGGTTAGTCAATAGTCGGGTTAGTGAAAGGGACCCGTTAAACATATTTTTATTTTATTTTATTCAAACTAATAGGAAGATTCGTATTTTGGGGAAAATATTAATATTTAAAATCAAATTATGTTGATTGGGAGGTGACGTTGCGGGTTGACCTTTACTCAACGGTCTTGACCGTCCAACATAATGGTCAATTTTCGGATTTGGCCAATTAGGTAATGTTTTTGGTGAGTTCAGGCAACAATGTTAATTATGAAAAAAGTTCGGGTCAGGTCCTAATGATAATATCATGATATGGCAGTGATATGATGTCATCAAAAAAATTTAACACAAATAATCCATCATATCAATATCATACCTACATTATAGCACTATCATATCACTATCATACTATTGTCAATAATAATATCATGCTATGATAATTATACGATGTCCAAAATAATTTATTAAGAAAATCAAATTGGATGTAATATTTTAAAGCACAAAAATATGATATTAGTGAGAGAAAGTAGAGAGAGGAATACTGAGAGAAAGGTTGCGAGGTTTCCGATCAGCTTGCTCGCGGCCGGCTCCGGCACCTGCGCCGGAGCAGCTTCCTTTCCCCTTCTTTTCTTTTCTCATGAGTGAGGAGCGTGTTGAATCTTCTTCTTCTTCCTCTGAAGTGCCGAAGAGCGACGCGAAGGGGATTCCATCGAAACCCTGGGCTTCGTTATTTGGTATTTCGGAGGCAAATCGACTCTCGTACTTTCCCCCGGAGGTTATCAATGGTGGTCTGCCAATGCCGAAATCAGTGCGGGAAGCGGGTGCAGCACGATGGAAGAATTGTCTGGTAGGGCAATTCCTTCAAGATCCGCCTTCTCTTCAGGTTCTACGTCGCTGGGTGAACAAGCTCTGGGGAAGGGATGGGGTGGTGAGAGTTTCAGTATTATATGACAAGATGTTGCTGATCCAATTGCCGAATCAACAGGTGTGTGAATGGATTCTGGAGAACGGACCGTGGTTCTGGTACAATAATTTGCTTTACCTTAGGCCATGGGTTCCAGGCATCAGTTTTGAAGATTTAGGTCGCAAAGCCTTCCCAATCTGGGTTCATCTTTCGAACGTTCCGCTTGAGTACAATGATTATCAGGGGTTAAGCAGAATTGCCAGTTGGGTGGGTGTGCCGTTGGGGGTGGATCAAACTACAAGACTAGGTAATAGGCATGGGTTTGCTAAGGTTTTGGTGGAGCTTACTGCTGGGAATGACTATCCGGATCATGTAGTGTTATGGCCTGATGATGATGCTTCAATTCGAATTGGGGTTTCGTATTGCAATCTTCCTACAGTCTGTTCGGTCTGTAAGCTTTTTGGAGTTACTGGCTCCTGTGAGGCTCATCAAGGGAAGCAGTGGGTTGCAAAGCCGCAACAACAACAAGTTCAGGTTGATAGTGGTCCTCCTCAGTCAGTGGGATCGGATCCAGTGGTGGCTCAAGTGGTGGAAGATGCGAAATCTGTGGAAAGTAAGGGTAAGGAAGTGTTTAACAGTGATGATGATCCCCAACTACATGCTATCTTCTCGAGTCCTCCTGTGAGTGAGGGAGTGCAGATTGCTCCACAGAATTTGGAGAAATCTTTCTTGGCGGTGGCAGGTTCTCCATCCCCTAAGCTGCCTACTGAGGATGAATTTCAGAGGGTGGTTAATGGGGCTAGGCCTCGAGTCTGGTTATCCTCGGCAAGTGTAAAAAATCCTTTGCAGGCCTCGACATCTTCGTTTAGTGTGTTAAGCACGATAGGGGATAAGGAGGCAAGTAAGATTCTAGATGCTCCGAAGAACAAGGAAGTAAGAAAGGATCAGTGGAAGGGGGGAGGAGGGAAACCTCCAACTTCTAAATGAAGGTCTTGTTCTGGAATGTAAGGGGGTTCAATAAAACCTCCAAACAACGGGACTTGATGCAAGTCCTACGTAGGAATCAAGTAGATGTGGTAGCGGTTCTGGAAACTCGAATAAAGGCTGAGAAGGCTAAAGATACGATAGAAGAGGTGTTTTCAGGATGGGAGAGGTGTCTTCAGTGCACTGGTTCCAACCTTGGAAGGGTCTGGTTGTTCTGGTCTCCAGAGATAAAATTACAAGTGTTGAAACCGGGAAAGAATTTTGTGCATTGTCTGGTAGAGGATATAAATAAAGAGAGTTTCTTCTTAACTGCAATTTATGCTTCTAATGATGAAGCAGAACGACTTCTT